GGGCAGTGTCTGGAGGCCTCAGGGACATTTCCCATCCTCACCCTAGCAAACAGTCTGCCAAAGGGGGGTGGGGGGTGGGGGTGTCTTCTCCCCAGCACTCATTGCCCCCTCAGCCACAGCCCTTCAGCCACACTTCACCCAGTAACCAGCACCCCAATGCAAAGGTGACCATCACCAGGTCCATGGCCGAAGACCCTTCCCCAGGCCCATGCAGCTCCTAGCCACAAACTCCATGGGGCCCAAATCACCAGGACCGCTCAGATCAAGCCCTATTAGAGCCCCCCCAAAACTCAGGCTCTTACTCGGTAGTCACTGGAGGTCACATAGAAGATGGGCAGGAAGGCCAGCCAGATGATGCAGGTTGTGTACATGGTGAAGCCGATGAACTTGGCCTCGTTGAAGTTTTCGGGGCATTTCCGTGTCTTGAAGGCGTAGACCGTGCAGAGGACGATCAAGAGCACATTGTAGGTGAGCGAAATGAGCATGTTGGAGTCGCGGTTGTTGCATTTGAGGGTGACGATATACCTCTTGTCAGGCTCGGTCTCCTTGCCTGTGCCGGGGGTCTCCACCAGCAGCCAGATGATGACGATGATCAGCTGGCAAGAAATGAGGGCCATGCAGATGACCACCTGCGATGTGGGGCTTATGAACCGGGGGCGCTGGACCCCCTCCTTCACCCCGCTGAAGATCCTGGCGATGCGATTTGTCTTGGTCAAGAGAGCTGAATAGCAGACAGCAAAGGACGTGCCCAGCCCCAGACGCCGGAGCGTGCACACCTCGGTGGAAGGCTTTGCGATGAAGATGAAGGTCATGCTGTAGCACATGAGGACCCCGGTCAGGAGAATGTAGCAGAGCTCCCGGCCGGAGGCCTTCACGATGGGGGTGTCATTGTTCTTCATGAAAACTCCAAAAACGAAGAGGGTGGAGATAAAACCCAGGCAGGAGATAGTGACGGGACCAATGGCCCAGGCATCTTTCCAGCGGATGTACTCTTGGGGCAACTCGTAGCAGCCATTTAGGGTCTCGTTGGGCCAGTAACCGAGACCACAGTCCATGCAGGTGAACTCATCCAGCAAGTACTCATAGGGCTGGCAGGGGATGCAGATCCAGCAGCATATGTCTCCGGGCTGCATGCTCTTTATCTCATTCTTCTTGCAGGGGTCGCTGCACTGGGACACAGGGATGGAGGTCTCAGCCCATGGGATGAGGCTGGTGTTGAGGATGAGCCCCTCAGCCCAGTAGCCCACCTTCTGATACCGATACCGCCCGTCCATGTGGTGATAGTTGAAGATGTTGTAGCGCCCGATCCCATCACCATAGCGGTCAAATCGAACAACGCTCTTGGTGTCTGCTGGCCTGAACGGAGCTAGAGGGAGAAGAAGGGGAGGTGGTGACTGCTGTGGGGCAGGAGAGCATTCGCTCCTGGTGTGGAGGCAGGGCTCCTTCAAAGGGTTACGTCCCACCATGGTCACAGGCAAATGTCCAACCTGTTCTCTGCTTTCACTCTCATAATTGCTGCCTATGCATGTTAGGAGCAGGAAAGCATGGTTGATATCTATCTCCCCATATGCCTAAGAGCTCGGCAGCCCCAGCCAGCTCTGCAGGGACAAAGGGGGATTTTGCAGCCTCCATGGCTCTCAATGACACCTGGGTAGCTGGGCTCAGCCCAAGTCACAGAGGACGCACTTCTAATTCATCCTCAACTATGTAGGTCCCTGATCAAGGGTGTGCCTCCAGTTTAATTCCTAAAATGTGAATAAATCATGGCACTTGCAAGTGAGGTCTCCAAGGACCCATGTTTCCGGAGGGGCGCCTGTGGGGCCAGTCCCACCCAATTCTAGCAGGATGGAGTTGATCACCAGCTTCTCCATGCTGGGGACAGAAGGCCTGAATTGCCTCCCAGGGGTGATGGTGGGCTGTTGGCATCCTGGGACAACCACAGCCCATGCCACAGGGGTCCCCGGGTGTGGGCAGGCTGGAGGGACTGGATGGCTTTGGGTCAAATATGGGTCTCCTTCCTCCTCCCTGCCCCTCCACCCATCCCTTTTCAGTTAGGCAGCCAAACCCCATCTCCCTCTCTGGACTCACCGTCAAAATTAACATTGAGCATAAAGTCCTTGTAGAACCTCTTGCCATTGACGGGCTTCATGGCGTCGCAGAGCTTGGTGGTGTTGGGGCACAGCGCCTGGTGCATGTTGTGGAGAGAGTGAGCCATGGCATAGACCGCATTGACCACGAATGTGATCTTGGACTCTGGCTCAAACTTGCCTGTCTTGAGGGAGTACCGGCTACAGTCCTGCGTGTGGAAGCTGCACTTGAACTTTTGCTCCCAAAATTCCCGAAACCAGGGATTTCGGCTGTTATTGTAGGGACTGAGGTTACGAAAGTAGGCAGCAAACTCCTTAATGGGGTAGGCTGCCAGCTCGATGGTAATTGCTCCCTCTGCCACCGCTTCGCTCCCGGCCACCACGCTCTCCAGGGCTCCCCACCCATCACTGGCCACCCACATGAAGGACATGTTGGCTCTCTGGGCAGCTGCCAGCAGCTCCCGGGCATCTTCGCTTCGGGTAAACAGCACGACCACCCTGGCATTGGGCTTCTGTAGCAGAGCCCGGACCACCCCATCATAGGTCTTCTTGTTCATGGAGCGCCCCACTTTCTCCGAGGTGGCAATGCAGATGTTGCGCATGCGGGCTTCTTGCTCAAAGGCCTCGATCCCCGTCTCCCCATAGTCGCCCTCTGAGGCCACGGTGGAGACGTAGGTCCAGTTGAAAAAGCGGAGGATCTCTGCCATGGCTTTGGCTTGGTAGAAGTCTGGTGGGACAGTGCGGGCAAAGTAGTCGTAGCGGGACTTGTCACTGAGCTTGGCGCTGGTGGAGGCATAGCTGATCTGCGGGATCTGGAAGAGCCGCAGCAGGTTGGCCACCTGCGTGGAGGAGGAGAGGTGAGCGCCTAAAGACGTGGCCCGGTGAGGGATGTTCCCACTGGAGGACCTCTGCCCAACACCCAGCGTTGCATGGTGCTCCCAAGCCCGACCGTGGGGCTGATGAGCACCCCCCCACCTGGAGGGTCCTGGTTGGCAGACAGATGGATGGACAGCACATTCACAGGGTTGCCTGAGCCCTCAGATGTGCTCATTTATTTTATTTTTTTTTAGTATTTTATGCACTCCCCTCTGAAATTCGGGGCTGGGGAAGGGACAAATGGATTTGTGGCAAAAGCAGAAAGTCCCCCGCAGGCGACCTGTGGGCAATGCTCATGGGCAAGGAGAAAGGCAGGGTCCCTGCGATGGTGGGGGGGGAAAGGGCTCTGGGGCCCAGGACACGGGGCAGAGCCCCCCACCCAGCCCGGGGAGGGCTGCAGAGCTGGGCCTGGGGACCAGCGCCTGTGCACCCCTCACTGGGGGCCCCAGCAGGACTGGCACGTTCCGCCGCGCAGCAGAAGCTCTCGTTAGCTTCAAAAGGGAAAAAAGCCCCGCTAATGAGGCCGTTAAAAACCCAGGCCCTTGGAGCAGCAAGGGGGGGGCTTGGGTGCGCCGGCAGGGCCAGTGAGCCTGCCCACATCTCACTGCTCCCCAGGCGAGAGACACGGCTTAATTA